AGAAGAGAAGAATGAGGGGGGATTTGATAGCTGCTTTCAACTACCCGAAAGGGGGTTCCAAAGAGGATGGATCTAGACTGTTCTCAGTGGTACCAGATGACAGAACAAGGAGTAATGGTCTCAAGTTGCAGTGGGGGAGGTTTAGGTTGGATATTAGGAAAAACTTTTTCATTAGGAGGGTGGTGAAGCACTGGAATGGGTTCCCTAGGGAGGTGGTGGAATCTCCTTCCTTAGAGGTTTTTAAGGTCAGGCTTAACGAAGCCCTGGCTGAGATGATTTAGTTGGGGATTGGTCCTGCTTTGAGCAGGAGATTGGACTAGATGACCTCCTGAGGTCCCTTCCAACTCGTGATATTCTATGATCACGATCACTGGCTATTGAAATGTTTTAAAGCAAGTTTTATGGTTAAGTAAAAGGATATTTGTTGTCTCATAACTTCCCAGGACAAACAACTTTAATATTAAAGCAGATGATCAGAACCGTCTAAAATAATGACATTGAATTTGTTGCCCTGCCAAAACCCTGGATTCCCCCCACCCGCACCCCCATTCTTTGGCAGCGAGCCTTACAGGGTATTTCTTGTATAGGCCCAACAATGCTGTAGGGGTCTGATCCAAAGCCCTCTGAAGTCAATGGGAAGACTTGACTTCAACAAGCTTTGGCTCAGGCCCTAGGTTCTTTACAGACTCTGAACCACATGTTCTACTTTGTGCTGTTGGGCTTTGGAATTCAATTGTTGGTGGTTTTGGTGCCGTATCTTCCCCTGCCACAGACTGGAACCCAGAAGAGAGTCACAGGCTTAGATCAGAGATGAGTGGCACAATTGTAAGTTTATCGGAGGGGAGAGGAAGGAAGGGAAAGGTTTTTGCTGTTAAAAAGACTAAATAAAAAGTTACATTAAAAGAAAAACTACAGGAGAGCACCGGAAAGCAAGGCTTACCTCAAGGAAGGCTTTGTGGAAAGCATCAGACACATACAGGTCTGTACGGCCCTCTGCAACTATAACCTAAAAAAAAAAAAAAAAAAAAAAGGAACAAGCCATGAACAGACAGGGAAATTCAAGAACAGATTTTTGAGAAGCCAACACTGAGCACCAAAGCATTTTGATCTCACACCAGAGGAAGTTTGAGGCAGACAATCAACATTGATGGGGAAAGGGCAAATTAAATGAGGACAAGGGTCAAGCTAACGATCCAAATTCTGCCCTGCTGCCGTTGTATTGGGCCCACAGTGACATCAGGGGAAATCCTAAGTGTTTGTATCTAAGGGTAGATTTGGGCCCTTAGCACTGAACAATTTGCAGGCAAGTTTAGTACTGGTGGAAGATGCCAGTCTGACAATCCTTTCTCTGTAGATTCAACCCTGACCCACACAGGACACCCCTAGGATCAGAGGGGACTTTTCCCCAGTGGTGACAGTGGATTTTGTGATCAGGACACTTGTGCACTGCTCAGTGGAGAAGCCACTACAATTCTAGCACTGCTTTCAAATACTTGGCGCCCCTCCACACAGTGCTGCTTCATTTCATTTCCCTCCCCCCGCTCTCACAGTGGGAACCTGCCAGGACTGACCTGGCAGCTTGGCATGTTCAGGGCTGAAGAGATCCACCAGCCCCATGTGCTGCAGCTTCTCCTTCAGACTGAAGTTGTCTTCGATGCGGAAGCGGGGGAGGTAGACAGAGAGCAAGATCTCCTTCATAGAGCCCAGCCAGCTCTGCAGCCGCTCTGGGGTCAGGTCCCGCTCTACTTCTCCAAGCGATGTGCCCATGGTGGGCAGGATGAGAACCATGGTGATGTCATCCCCTTTGTATGGTAGCTCCACCACCTGGACATGGTCGCTGGGGACGGAGACGTGACGGAACTTGTTCTCCTGGTACATCATGGGGGTGGCACAGATTTGGCCGTTGCTTCTATAGAACTTATCCCTTTTTGTGTTCTGAGCAGGGAACTCTGATTTCCAGTGCCCCTGGGGGACCATAAAGACAAACAGTAATCAGTCACAGATCAGAGAATCCCAGCCCCACGCCCAGCACACGCTGAGCCATGGGGGATCAGTGCATTGCTCTCTCCTCTTTAAAAAGGGAGGCTCTCTGGACCATGCTTGGCTTCTCATTTGTTACTAGCAGCACCTCCCATTGTCCATGCTAGTGATGGGAAGGACTAGGGGGGGTTTGCCTGTTACAAAACTTCAACAAGGATTCCATTTTTCAGAAGCAAACTGAGATCAAGGTCCCATTGAACCTGAATCCCCCAAAGTTTTGAGAGAGAAGGAGCTGGCTCACCACTGTTGTGGTGAATAGTGCTTTGCATTTCTGTAGTTAACAATGAGGTTAGCCTCACAACCTCCCCACCACCCACAGTGGGGAGGAGGCGGCTACGGATAGGGAAACAGACACGGAGAGGCTAAGTTACTTAGCTGATACCACATAGCAGCTCAGTGGCAGAGCTGGTTAGGGAACGGACAACTCCCCTATCCTGGAAGGATGCTCTTCGGCCCCACCACTATCTCCCTGAAACGGAATTGATGTACAGAACTCACTGGCTTGTCCCCAGTTGTGCTGATTGGGGACTGTCCATCTCACCACAGCTTGGGCAATGAAATCAGAGCAGTCAGATGTACTTTCTGGGCTGTAGAATTTGGAGCTAGATTCAAATTTCAGACCCTTGCCATATCTTAGGGGTGTTTGGATCTGGGATTTTGGCACAACCCAAATAGGGCCCCGGCACGGAATTCTGATCTGGATTCCAGACCTCTCCCCGCAACACAAAGATCAGGGATGGGAAGATCCAGGTTTTTGGTTTGGTTTGCACCCCTCTCTACCTTATAGTGAGCTTCACTTTTCAGTTCTCTGTCCCAATGTTGGTATGTTTGGGTTTTCACCGAGTCATCATAGCTGACAGGTCTGAGCCAGCATCTCTGTTTCTTAAAGCTTCAGTGTGTCTGGGCTAGGAGAATGATCTACTGACTTCTCATCACCCCACCCAAAGCCTGGCTATAGACCTCCCCTCTCCCCAGGGGAGCAAATTTCCCAAGGGTTGTTTCCTGTACCTTAAAGTAAATGGTGTTGACCAGCACCAGCACAGTGAGGTCATCAATGCCTCCCTCAGGGATCACGTCAGTAATGCGGTTCTCAGTTTTATTAGCGATCCACTCATTAATTAGAGTCCTGGACTGCTCCGGCTTTTCCTGGAGGAATAGACCCAAAACAATAAGTTACATGGGGATTTTAACACCCCATTGTCTCTCTGCAGGAGGCAGCCATCAACAAGTGTGTGTGTGGTGGGGGGTGTGTGGCATGCTCCCAGTGCAGACCGTGTGTTCTGAGCACCATGCTGCAGTACTCAGAAGTGAGAACCTTGTAAATGGATGAACCCGAATCTGAGCTTAAAGCAGGTTCGGTCAGTAGCAAAACTGTGCTGCATTCAAGCACACAAGTCATACATAGCCCCTTGCCCCTGGTTCACAGCATCCACTAGGCCACTCAAGCGAGGTAAGGGAGAGAATTTATCAACAGCACAAGGATTTGGAAAGGGATAGAAACCAAAGTCCTTCGGACTCACTTTGAAGTTCAAGGGCCAGAGTTTGGCTCCATAAACCACCTCACTGATGTTCTGGTAGGTCTCGTTGAAGGTCAGAGATTTCTCCCCAAAGAGACGATTGGCCGACACCAGCTCTGAGGATTTGTTGGCCTTCTTATAAAGCCGGCAATTCAGCTTGGCGAAGAAGAAGTGGATCTGATCAGATGTCTTCTCTGAAATGGTGTCAAACCGGAAAACCTAGGTAACCAAAGGAGAGAGAAGGAATCACAGACATGGCTCCCCATTTCCTGTAGCCACAGGCAGAGGGGACAGGCTGATAACTGTTCAACAACTCCACAGACACAGGGACACTGGACCACTCACTCTGGACTTGGTGAGAGCTCTTGGTTTGTTTGGGTTTAGTCACATGGAAACAGAGATAGGCCTGATCCAACCCCCTGGATAGGGTCTGGAGATTTGTGGAGTTTAGACACATCCACAAACTTTTCAGCTGAGCCCCTGTCTCTCTCTGCAAGAAAGCTGGGTGCAGCTATGCAGAAACAAGGCTTTGAACTGTCCAGAATACAAACACTGTTTAACAAAGAAAATCATATGGCTGCTCCTTTCTCTCCTCCCCTTCAAAGCACAGATGTCTCCTCTCCCACACTCAGACTATACCCTGCCCATCCCCCTCCCCAATTGCTCCTTTTGCCTGATCCCTTCTTTTAAGCCTCTACCTTACACCAAGAATGGCTTCACAATTCTCATTCACCAACCGTCCTCCCTCTTTCCCTTCAGGGAGCAAATGGAGCCCTTATGACTGCTACACGTTTAATCAGGGAGCCTGGATTCTTTTAAATCCTGGGCACTAGCCTGGGAAACTGGGAGACCCAGTTTCAGTTCCCAACTCTGCTGCAGGATTTCTGCACGACTTGGGGCAAGTCACTAAGGGTTTGTCTACCCAGGAAATGTTTCTAGTTATACCACCAGTATAGTCACACCACTGCAACTATCCATGTGGACTTGCTTATTCAGGAATAAGAGTCCACTTGGGGTGTTACACCAGTGTAATGATAGTGGTTTAAATTCCTATTTACACTAGCATAACTTCCCAGGCAGACAAAGTCCTAGCCTCCCTGGGCCTCAGTGCCCCTTCTGAAACTTCCCTACCTCACAGGGGTGTTGGGAGGATAAATACATTAAAGATTGGGAGGTGCTCGGATAGGACAATAATGGGGGTGCATCTAGGTACCTTAGACAAATGACTCCACTACAGAGGAAACCGATGTCAGCCGAAGAACCAGCACATCTGGCTCACAGTCCTGTGCCCAGAGCACACCTCTCACTTGGTTAGTCAAAGCAGAGCAGTACAAGCAAAATGAACAGAGCTAGAATCCCAATTATAATTGAGGGCTCTAACAATCTGCCATTCAGGTAATGGGTGGATCTTGTTTCTGGAACTGCCGCTTTACTACAGCCCATGCAATCATTTACTCGTGAGGCAGGAGCACTTACCTTGCTGCAGTAACTTCTGCTTAGAGATCTAATGCCAAATACAAATGGGCACAAGCCATTTATAGTCTCAGCTGCACTCCCCTCTATTGGCTTCTATCCCATGGAGTTTTCACACACACTATGGAGGAGCTCTCTGAAAACTAACACTGCCATGGTCCCAGTAGGAAACTGGAGACCCTGAAAATCACAAGTTACAGCCTAGTGACACATGCCTAAAGTGCCCTTTGCTGGCTAGTGAGAGAACCAGAAAACCCTGCTCCTCACTTCTACTTCTCTCTGTGTCAGCTTTATTTTCAGTCTTTCCAAAGAGACGCTCATGCGAGTGGAAGCTCGTTTCACTCAGGCCACCCGAGAGTCACCACCCGGCAACAACTGGGTGTGGATCCGGAGAATGCCCTTGAGCTGGCTCCAGGAGATGCCTCAGGCACCTTTTCATTGATTCATATTTTTGCTAGTGGGATCTCTAGCAAAGTGAAGATACTGAGCCTGTCTTCCAAGTCTATTGTGAATGGTGCTAGCTTAGCCGTGCACCGTTGGAAGCAGTTGCGCATGTGATCTCACAAGGGGCTACATCCAGCCGCATTAGCATCAATGGGACTTATGCCATTGACTTCAATGGGAGTTGGATCAGCCTGAGGTTCATTAGAAGCACACTGGTGGGACCACTCAGTGGTTAGCACCATAGATTTCCCTAGGGCAGGCACAGGCTGGTAACTGCACTGAGGGTCTTCTAAGTGCCTTGAGATCAGTAAGGGACTCAGCTTCCTGGATATTGGGTGATGCTGTGAATTTATTTTGTTTGAACACAGAAGTCAGTCTGTGGTCTCCACCCCATCCCTTATTCATTCCAGGAGATAGCCTTTGTCTGGCAGCATTTCCATGGAGCGATAGGAGAGTTATTTTCCCTTATCTGGATAGGGGCATCCAGAGTTTGGGCTGCTGGAGGAAGAGGGAGGAGCTGTAACACTAACCCCATGCCCAGGTCTCATTAGGTTTCCCTCAGTTTTCAGCACAAGAATGATCTATCCCTGCATGTCTAACATAGCCTAGCTACACATTGTCAGGTCCACTAGGAGCCAAGCATTTGCCTTCTCCTCCGTGCCCCTTGAAGAGTTTCCCGCTCCTCCATATGGAGTCAATAGGCCCGAACCCAGCGTGCATCAGAAGAATTTACTCCAACCACTGGAGCTAGAGGAGTTGGGATTCCCAACAGACCAGGGGAAAGCCAGCCTGGAGCTTCCTGCAGTGCTCTCCACAAGGACAGGTGTCCTGACAAGGAGCTTGTTTAGCCAAAAGGTCTCTCTCTCTCTCTCTAAGCAGGGAAATGTCTCGAGTGGAGGAGCCTGAGAGAGCTTTATCACCGACAAACAGCTGGCAGCCAGCCTTTAGTAACCTTGCTCTAACCTCAGTTGTTAGGATAGCAACTTGAAGAGGCTGAGATGGTGCCACTCACCTCCATGAGCTGCTGGAGGGTGTTACCGCAAGCACCGAGTTTGGTCATCGCAAAGGCCGTGGAGATGCTGAGGGGTGACATGAAGATGTTTTCATTGTCATTCTTGGAATCTGCCAGGTATTTGTAGAATTCCGTGGCGAAGAGGGTGTTGGCCTTTGATAACTCCCAGACACGGGGATTAGTAGATTCTGGAATCTTCTCCTTCACTTGCTCCAACCCTAGCCCCTCACTCTCCTTCTTCTCAGGGTTACGGTAAATGCACATGGGATTCACTGGGATATCCCTTGGCTTTGCAGTGCAGATATCTTCCACAGGGTGGTACTGAGGAGCTACTGCACCCCAGAGGCTGATGATGAACCACATGAATAGATGCATCTTCCTGAAACCAGCAAGAGAAGTTACAATCCAGCTGCAAGCCTTGCATGAGCCATCCCTCCAAATGGACTCATGGACATAACAGCCACTGTATCCATCTCCTCTCCAAACTCACTAGTCCCATTGTAAACTTCATATGGAAATCGTTCCATACCTCAGGGCTGTCGATTAATCACAGTTAATTAACACGATTAACTCAAAACAATTAATCATGATTTAAAAAATTAATTGGTGTTTTAATAGCATGGTTAGACAATAGAATACCAATTGAAATGTATTAAATATTTTTGGATGTTTTGCTACATTTTCAAATATATTGTATTCTGTGTTGTAATTGAAATTAAAGTGTACAGAGCTCACTTTATATTTTTTATTACAAATATTTGCACTGTAAAAATGATAAAACAGTATTGTTCAATTCACCTCATTAAAATACTGTAGTGCAATCTCTGTTGTGAAAGTGCAACTTACAAAGGTAGATTTTTTTTTGTTACATAACTGCATTCAAAAACAAAAGTATGTAACACTTTAGAGCATACAAGTCCACTCAGTTCTACTTCTTGTTCAGCCAATCGCTAAGACTAACAAGTTTGTTTACATTTATGGGAGATAATTGCTGTCCCCTTTTTATTTACAATGTCACCTGAAAGTGAGAATAGGCATTCGCCTGGCACTTTTGTACCTGGCATTGCAAGGTATTTACATGCCAGATATGCTAAACATTTATATGCCTCTTCATGCTTCGGCCACCATTCTAGAGGACATGCTTCTACACTGACGACTCTCGTTAAAAAAATAATGCATTATTAAATTTATGATTTAACTCCTTGGGGGAGAATTGTATGTTTCCTGCTGTTTTACACACATTCTGCAATACATTTCATGTTATAGCAGTCTCAGATGATGACCCAGCAGATTATGTTCATTTTAAGAACAATTTCACTGCAGATTTGACAAAAATGCAAAGAAGGTACCAATCTGAAATTTTTAAAGATAGCTACAGCATTCGACCCAAGGTTTAAGAATCTGAAGTGCCTTCCAAAATCTGAGAGGGACAAGGTGTGGAGCATGCTTTCAGAAGTCTTAAAAGAGCAACACACTGATGTGGAAACGACAGAACCCGAACCACCAAAAAGGAAAAAATCAACCTTCTGCTGGTGGCATCTAACTCAAATGATGTAAATGAACATGCGTCGGTCCTCACTGCTTTGGATCATTATCGAGCAGAACCCGTCACCAGTATGGATGCATGTCCTCTGGAAAGGTGGTTGAAGCATGAAGGGACATATGAATCTTTAGCGTATTTGGCACATAAATATATTGCGACACCAGCTACAACAGTGCATACGAATGCCTGTTCTCACTTTCAGATGACATTGTAAACAAGAAGTGGGCAGCATTATCTCCTGCAAATGTAAACAAACGGTTTGTCTGAGCAATTGCCTGTACAAGAAGTAGGACTGAGTGGACTTTCTAGGCTCTAAAATTTTAGATCGTTTTATTTTTGAATGAAGTTATTTTTTGTACAGAATTCTATATTCGTAAGTTCAACTCATGATAAAGAGATTGCACTACGGTACTTGTATTAGGTGAATTGAAAAATACTATTTTTTTTTTTACAATGCAAATATTTGTCATTAAAAATAAATATAAAGTGAGCACTGTACACTTGTATTCTGTGTTGTAATTGAAATAAAAATATTTGAAAAATGTAGAAAATATCCAAAAATATTTAAATAAATGGTATTCTATTACACCTCTACCTCGATATAATGCTGTCCTCTGGAGGTGAAACCGCATTATATTGAACTTGCTTTGATCCACCAGAGTGCGCAGCCCCCCCACCCACCCCGGATCACTGCTTTACCGCGTTATATCCGAATTCATGTTATATTGGGTCGTGTTATATCGAGGTAGAGGTGTATTAACAGCGCAATTAATCACGATTAATTTTTTTAACTGCTTGACCGCTCTGTTCTAAACATTTTCCTAGTCATTAGCAGGAGATGAGCTCCATGCTCAGTCCCAGCTCTACTTTATGTTATTGAAAGTTACTAACATGGGAAATACCAAGTCGGAAGAGTGAGGGGACAGTAAAATGGTCTTTTAAAGTGGCAGTCCTACAAGGTGCTAAGTGGAGGTGCCTGTCCAGTGCCAACTGCTGTGCGAGGATCTCAATGCACTTTACATTCATTAACAGTCACTGGGCCCCTGCAAGTTATGTCAGTATTACTGATCGGGAAATCAGGCCAAGCAGAAAAGGGGCTATCAGGCACAGGTTAGCCAAATAACTATCACTGACTGATGGTCACACCTCTGCTTGTGCAGGAATTATAAATCCCACCACCTCTTATGTTGCTGTGATCAGCAGTAGCATAGCACCCCAGCCTACTGTAGGCACAGTGGAATGTGCAGTGTTTAGTACACCTGTTTGTAAGGCTTCCATCACTATGGTTTCCACATGCATTTTTACGTGGCTTAACATTGGGTCTGATCAGATATCCTATGCACTGCAGCATACAGACCACACTTCTGTCTAGCTTGAAAGACAAGGAATGGAGACTTGGCTACTCGCCCAGGACTCAGTACTCCATGGAGAGCCTTTGCAAAAAGATGGATCTATCTTAGGTTTTCCCACAGTGCCCATCACCACAGTAACCCAGCATGGCATACTTTATGGCTAGGTGCAAGCGGAGGTGCATTTATCTAGAGTGATTCCAGAGATACAGTTCCACTACCAGTGTGGCCTCTGGCAGTACAATTTTGATTCAAAGGCATTTAGAGAGAATGGTATTGGGAAGGAAGGGTGGCTTTGTGGTTAACACAGTGACCTATGACACAGAAGATCTGGGTTCCATTCCTGGCTCTATCACAAACACACTGTGTGACCTTGTGCAAAAATCACTTAAGCTGCACCTCACTTCCTCATCTAGAATGGAGATAATTCCTCTCATTTTTTTGCGGTCTTTTCTCTTTAGATTGCAAGCTCTCCAGGGCAGAAACGGCCTTATTAGGTGTCTGCAGAATGGCTAGCACAATGATCTTGCTTGAGGGTGGTAGCCACTTTTATTATGTACATAATAATTAACAATGCCGTGGTGACAAGTGCTACAGAGATACCTAGAAACAGAATGAAGAGCTGCAGGCGAATAGCCAGGAAAGCTACCCGCAGCACTAGCTTCTGAACATTTCCTTCCCATTGGGAGCAATGAGCAAGGGGTCAAGGCAAGATTGAGATCTGCACCCAAGGATCTCTGCTGTGTATGTGGACAGCCAGAGCTGCTATTGCTTTCCTCACTTTTAGCCTACCATTCTTGCTGGAGGAGGTTTTTCTGAGTATTATAACTGCTCCACCAATAGTCTATAAGGGACTGATTTTGCATCATATCTCCCATTTCAGGACACTGGGAAGAGCAGCAGCAAGCTACAGGCCTCAACTCAGCTCTCAGTCAACCGCAAGGACAGGGTTATTTACAGGCACAGACATGCTGTCTCTGATAGCCTAATGTCCGAATTGTCAAAGCTAAAAGCCCTTATAAAGTCACGTGCCTTAGTGCCTATCATCATAGTGTGTAGGCATTGCTTTTTCCATAACCAGGCTAAAGCTCAGATGCATTCTTCAGGAGTCAAAAAAGCTAATAGAATGTTGTGACTCATTAAGAAAGGGATAGGTAAGACAGAAAATATCATGTTGCCTCTATATAAATCCATGGTACGCCCACATCTTGAATACTGCATACAGATGTGGTCAGCCCATCTCAAAAAAGGATGTATTGGAATTGGAAAAGGTTCAGAAAAAAGGGCAACAAAAATGATTAGGGGTATGGAACGGCTTCTATATGAGGAGAGATTAATAAGACTGGGACTTTTCAGCTTGGAAAAGAGACGAGTAAGGAGGGATATGATAGAGGTCTATAAAATCATGACGGGTGTGGAAAAAGTGAATAAGGAAGTGTTATTTACTCCTTCTCATAACACAAGAACTAGGGGTCACCAAATGAAATTAATAGGCAGGAGATTTAAAACAAACAAAAGGAAGTATTTCTTCACACAACGCACAGTCAGTCAACCTGTGGAACTCTTTGCCAGAGGATAGTGTGAAGCCCAAGTCTTTAACAGTTCAAATAAGAACTAGGTAAGTTCGTGGAAGATAGGTCCATCAACAGCTATTAGCCAGGAAGGGAAGGGATGGTCTCCCTAGTCTCTGTTTGCCAGAAGCTGGGAATGGATCACTTGATGATTACCTGTTCTGTTAATTCCCTCTGGGGCACCTGGCATTGGCCATTGTTGGAAGACAGGATACTGGGCTAGATGGACCTGTGGTCTGACCCAGTATCATAAGAACATAAGGCCAGTGACTTCCACATACGTGGGGCCACCCCTGGCAATACAAACCTTACTGAAAGATGCTCAGATATCACTGCAAAAGGCATGGATGCAAACCTAAATAGAGCAGAGAAGATTGGCTGGTCCTGCCTTATTCCATGAGAGAATTGAAAGTGGTCATGTTTTAAACACAGATGGTGGAATTCTAGTCTGACTGCAGTCAATGGCAAAACTCCCATTAGGTAAGATTTTTTTTTTGCGCACCCTTCTATCCTAATGTTGGAGAGGCAGGGTCAGGTAGAGAATTGCTTAATCAGCTCAAAATTGCAAGGCTCCAAGCAGTCTCTTGCATTGATCATGGGAAGTTCAGGAGTCAACACCCAGAACGCACTTTAGAAACACCCTACTCCCCCCCCCCCCCGTCAGGGTCCACAGATCCCAGTAATTTTCCATTCCAGTACCTTTGCTCAACAACGTTGTCTTCTGACAAAGGGCAGCATTCACTAGTGTTACAAACTTATGGATAATTCTCTAGTGCCAGAGGTGTGCTCCCTCCACACTACTCTAGAAGTAGCGCTAAGAAATCAGTCACTATTATTTGCTCAGAGTGCTTGAAAGCCTAACAAATATTAAGGCGCTTAACCTTTGTGGAATTGCTCCCACCAGAGCTTGCGTGCGTGCGAGAAATTCCCAGGAAAAGTAGGTGCCCCACTAAGGTCCCCAACCTGAGGCAAACAGCATTTTAGAAAGACAAGTGAGAGCAAGCCAGGACTTTCCAAGCCTCCTTGAAACAACTGCTCCCCACTTTACAGTTTAAGAAGTGAAGGGTTTGCAGGCATTCTAGTGAGCAGCAAGTGGCGTAACCAGGATCTCTAGGAAACCTAGACAGAACTCTACAAATACCACCCCTCAGCACTACAGTCAGGGATCCCCGACAGACAAGCAATCCAGCAGTGGCTGGAATGTGTAGATTTCTACAAAGTGGGATGAGTCCATGAGAAACCATGTTAATGAACATGAAAATCTCATTGGAAGCTAGCAGGACTGTGGAACCAATTCCTCTTACCTTGTGGTGTCTCAGATTCCTCGCCTACAGGACGTGAGCTGCAACGTACAGTGACAGGCACGCTTGCTTTAGAGCGGGGAAAAATCAGAGACAAAGCTAGTCAATAGTTGCTTCTGCACTGAATTTCTGCACTCCACCAGAGCTCAGTCAAGTCAGGGGAGAAAGGGAGGGAAGAGGTGGGATGTTGAGGTCAAAGGTTGATGACCAACCGTGGAAGGTTAAGCAAAGAGTTGAACAAAGCAATGTTTGATCTGAAAAAGGTTTTAAAGTTCAGTTTGATGAGGGAAAGTTTGGTCACCTTCTCCACATAGACTTCAGGGCTCCCCAATTCTGGCTGATAAAACACACAGAAGTTTTCCAGAATTAAAATGATTGTAGATTTAGAAACTTAGGTCAGGGCCAATTCCTCTCCGCCCCCTCCCCTCCTCAACCAAATACAAGTTGGAGAAGATTTGCGTAGTTTCCATTCTGCAGCAGTTTGGGCTAAATCACACACTTCTGTTCTTTAGTTTTCCCCATTGGTAAACTGGGGATTGTGATCCTTCACCATCTCACAACTGGCACGGATGGGAGCTGGGTGCTGATTTAATTCAACAACTCAGATGCAGTTTGCTCCATAAACATCGTTTGATTTAAAAAAAGCCAATCAGATTGGTTTTATCATGCAATAATCAGTAACATCTTCACAATAGAGGCCACTGCAAGAGCACACACGAAACCCTCTATCCTCCAGACACTGCAAGACGCCCAGGATTATGCGTAAAAAAACGAAGTGTTTGTGAAGCACTGTCCTGTTTTCATTCCTGCCAGAGAGCAGGTTTTGGCAGAACCGGACTGTCAGCCAGAGCTGCAATGCAAGTTACTGAATAACACACAGATTAGTCCTTTGAAGGCATTGTTTGAAATGCCTCTCCATGGGAGATGAGCCATAAAGCTATGGTCTTTAGTACAGATAACCTACTAGAAAGAGAGCTCTAAAGGTTTATCAGACTGGTTTTCCAAGGTGCTGAGCACTGACAAATCCTATAAACTTCAATGGGAGTTTGGGGGTTCTCAGCACGACTGGATGGGGAGGGGGTAAGGGGAGGAGAGACCAACAGGTAATTGGTTTACATTCACCAAATATTTGTAGGCCTTGTAACTGAGAATACAACTTTCAACATATGCAAAGGAAGGCATTTGTGATGGCCCCCTCCCTTTAATTCACTGGGAATGTGTATTTTCCACCAGGACAAGAAAAGTACATTTGTATTACTGAGGAATTATCAACCTGTCCTGCAGCAAAGGGCTAAGAGCCTGGCCCAATGCATCCTGAAATTCACAAAGATTCCCACTGACCGTAGTGGGTGTTGGAAGGGCACCAATTAGAAAGTTAAGGTTGCAGCAGAATTGTGATTAAAACAAACAAACAAACAAACATCCATGTACATAGGGCAGCTTACATTGGCAAAAGGTAGACGGTAGTGCAGATTTGGGGCCATTTAGCCAAGAGACAAACCTCTCTCTGCTCCAAAAAGTGATTTGATTTTTAAAATGGACAGGTTTTTACAGCATGCAGGGTTGTTGTAGCCATGTCAGTCCCAGGATATTATAGATACAAAATGAGTCAGGAGCTCTCTTTTAGTGGACCAGCTTCTGTTGGTGAGAGAAGCTTTCGAGCTACACAGAGCTCTTCAGTCACCTTCTCTCTCTAGGCTCTTACAGTGCTTTGTTGGATCGTGGTCACTGCAACTGGGGGAGGCTCCCAAGACAGAAGACACATGTCAAAACTGCATAGGCACTATTCTTGTGTCCGACATGGAAAATGCAGTAAATCAAATATTGTTTGCTTTTTGTCTGGTTCTGCGGAGCAGGCATTTTTTGTCCTGGTACCATGCTCTGTTGCACTGGGTAGGTGTCAGCATCTCAGGTTCCTCAAGTGACAGATGGAACTGGTGACCCACCCACACTCTCACCTGATGGGTAAGGTTCAGAAGCATCAGCCATAGTGCTGCTAAGGTCTCCCACCTTCAACTCTAGGGGAGAAAAGTCACCATTCACAATAGAGAAAGTAAGAGGCCTTGTAGAAGGTCTACCCTAGTACAGCTAGGAAGAGCAGACAGGCCTCCAGTGTGTGTCACTCACCTCGGCAGACTGCCTTTTGAAATATTACAAACCTTTGGATATGGCCACACTTTTGTGCAATGCACAGAGCACCATGTTGGCCCCACTGACATCAAGGAGGGTGTTGCACATGAAGCAGTGGAGCCACTGGAACGAAGGAAGGAAGGAAGGAAAGACATTTTGTTCAGCACTGACCTATAGGAACAGCACACAGGGATCCTTACTTATCCAAAATACTAAATAAGTTCAAGAAGTCATTCATGACTCGACTCAAATCTCATGGTCTCCTTTATTATCCTATTTTTTTTAAATTTTATTTTAATTTTTTTGTTAAATATACCTCTGCAGGGCACAATCACATACAATCAATACGATTGGTAAATTACACAAGCTCTATCCCAAGCATATATGCACCAATGTTAAAAAGTTATTTTTAAAAAACCAAAACAAAAAAATAAAATAAATTCCACCCAAAAAGGTGATAATGACTGCAGAATGTCTCGGGGAGACCGGTATGAGCCTAAGAAACCACAGAAAACTAGGCTTACAAATAAAAGTATTTCTGTAGAGAAATCCCACAACTGGAAACAGTTAGGTGGCTTCTAAAGTGGGAATGCATGTGGTTGTGTGTGTTCTGTCTCTTAACTGTCACAGTCCTCCCACACACACCTAACACCCACTTCCCCATAGAGTGGAACAAAATGGGGACAGAGCTCTTCACATTACTATCACCGATTATCAAAAGCAGGAAAAAAATAAAAATAAATCAAGCTACAGTGTAGCTGATAAGCTGACCTTCAAGGAAAGCTCCTCTTAGCACAGAGGCTGCTTACCTGGCAAGCAGAAGCCACGGGGAACGCAGAAATTCCTGACACTAGAAAAGCTAAGAGTCTCACGTTATTGGCTATTTTGTCCACATTGCAGCTGCCCACTTAGGAGAGGCTGCAAAGGAATGGCATAAAAATTACGAACAATGGAGCAGCTACGTTGCTAGGGGGGTTATTTCTCCTCTCCTGACTCAAGCGGTTTTCTGCATGCAGAGAAAGCTTCTGCCACCTCTAATAAAAGCTAGAAAGGAGCTCACTGCCTAGGTCCAGTTGTGGGATCTATCCAGTACACAATCTGGTTTGGATGCCAAAGACTTGTGAGTATTATCTGCCACAAATTATTAACAACTTTAATGTTACAGAGAAGCAAATGATTTTTAGTTTATACCATAAACATCAAATACACCACAGGATTTTGTTATTTAGTTACAGATACATATACATATTTCAGTATATCTAATACTTTTTCTTTTCATGGACTGCGTCTCCCTTTGGTTGTACTTTCCCCAAGACAAAACTGTTTTTCTATTTTTAAATTGATACTGCTGTGTTTTCCTTTTGGCCAAAACTTCCAGAACCAGGAGGAACTGGTGAAACTTACCCAACTCCAGATCTATTGGGCAAAAGCATCCAGAATCTGGTGGCTGCAGCTCAGCACCTGAATGGAAGATGTCTGATTTTCAGAGGTGCTGAGCTCCTACTGGACTTAGAGGTTAACTTTGTGGAAGCTGCAGGAGCTCAGTAGCAATGAAGGTCAGACCACTTATTCAGGTGGTTAAATTGTCAACATCCAAGTTTGGACATTTTGGCCAAGGTGTTATAAAGTTCCACCTACACTGGGAGGCTGTTGAGGAGGAAGTCCAGTGTACATACAGGAAGAGCCAAGTTCTTCATGCACTCCTTCATTAGATTTCAAAGAAAGCTCCACTCTCTCTGTTTATAGTGTTCAGCGTTCCCATGGCATGAAACTGCTCTCACCACTTATACATTTAAATGACATTAATGCTCCTTTCTCCTTCAATTAAGGTCCCATCTACATCACAACAATCAACTGCTTCCAAGGATGAGGCATGATCAGAGACACAGTTAACACCTGGTTTTTACAAAATGTGGAACCTGTGTCAGGAGACTCTGTTGGAATAAGATCTCCCAGACCAGTTGACTTTTGACATGTAACTGAACTGGCACTTAAGCCTCTTCCCAGTATCTGCCATTTTGTCAGAAAGCAAGTAGTTGATGGTATCAGTATTTAACAATATGGTATCAGTATTTAATTTTTATATTTCATATTAAAGTTATGGTGAGAGCAAATCCGTTTCAATGTCATATGAACAATCTTGGCCATGTACTCACATACCGCAAAGGACACAAAATGTGACTTCTCAGCACCAAGACTGTTTAGAAGGTAGCTCAGAAGTGTGATTAATTGTTAATATAAATTGAGATTACATTTAGCATGACAGGCTTTTCACCAGGTCAATGTCTGAATCACTATGCTGAACAAGACAGGGGAAGCGTTTTAGTATGTTAAAGAGATGTATAAACTTGTGGACAGTAGCATCAATCACTGTCAATACTGCCAATATTAGGAGATGGGGCAGAAAGTGTACATGTTTATAGACAAGGGGAGGAGAAGGAAATCAATATAATGGATCGTTATGGAGGTGAAGTCATGCCAGTTATTCTGCCTGCTCATGTAAACTACTCTATGTAATTCTCCACACTCAAACAGCTTTTGCATGGATTGGTTTTCCATTTGTTAAACAGAAGAGGCTAGCTGGCAGAACTGCTATTCAACGCTCTCATTTTTAGCACTGAATTTCTTGGTTTTTTTTTTTAAATTAAAGTTCTAGTCAATCTTTGACTAAAGATAGCTTCTTGACAAAGTGCTCCCTCTTCAAAAAGCTGCCCTGAGGGTTGGTACTTATCACTGACCTGTGGCTGTCAGAATATTTTTTAAAAGCTCCACACTTTTGTGAATGGAAACAGCAAGAAGCGGAGGATTTTCCGATTACTTTTACTGTTTAGGTATTCCCCTCTGAATTTCAAAAGCATAATCTGCAAGAGATTTAAGTGACCCCATAGAAAGTAGTTAAAAAAAAGGCTTTACTGTATGTCAAACTCAAAAGCCCAATTCTTCTACTTTGCAGTTCAGTGAGTTTGTCACAGATATTAAATACTTGTTATTAGTAGGCAACAATGTCCTTGCATGAAGTATTTGTACTGTATTTGATTTAAAGCAATGGTATAGCTGGACAGGAATCTTGTCAGTCTCACTGGACTTCCTTAGAAGTCAGCAAAAATTCACATTTGCAGCAAACTAGTTTTTAGAAATTTTAATTTTAAACCAGCAAAATCCAACAGGTTAATCAGCAATAATGTTTATAAACATGGCTTTTTTAAACTATGTAAACTTCTAAGTGCCTTCTCTGCTACCTGTAAATTAGCTGAGAGAGTGCATGGGAGTGGATGAAAGAACAAGTATGAAAGTTAGAAGACTCCAAAATATATTAGGTGCTTAAACACACCCTTTTCAAATTGTGTAACTAGATGAACTGATGCCACCATTTAACATATGTTTAAGGCTTGACAATCATTAACTGTGCAAACTGCTACCAGGAAAATACAGTCAACTCACAAAATTCTACAAAGATTTGACTATCAAAACGGCTATCCTGGGGGAAAAAGGGTGAAAAAAAGTAAAGCACAAGTCTTTGGCTCTCCTTTAAAGAAAAACAGCAGTTTACCATGTTTATACAGACCCCCTGTTTGCCTACCAGTAGGGGCAATATCATATTTGTGCATCACTGAGTAATAACACCATTAGAAAAGGCAACTTCACAGAAGTTATTGGCTAAGCGAATTCATTTGAATGCTCTGTTTTGAGGCAGCAAGCTGTCGCTGTTGCATGATCAGTGGGGTTGATGGTCAAGCCAGAGAGGTGGACCAGAGGGAGATAACACGGGTCAGTAGAACCGAGACAGCTGAAGAATTTGAGTTTAAAGTGGTAACAGCACTACATGTATGAAAGGTGCTCAGATCCACAGGATTTCTATTTTGAAATGGGGCAAGGCAGCCTACAAATGGCTAGAAGATAAGCATATATAATTCCACCATTAAGATAGGGGAACTGGGGCACATGTAAGGAGGAAAAAAACCCATGATACTACAGGAAAAATGAAATTGTTTATACTCCTAGTGGGTCAACTATTTGTGTCTGACATTGTGAAGACTAGCCTGCTGTTTGAAGTGTCTCATTTTTAGGGCTCTGTGCACGTTATGGTTGAAACTCTGCTAGCAACAAGCACTCAAAGGTTTGATCTACACCAGCAAATCTACCCTACTTGCCATACAACATGATAGTGCCCTAACAATAGTCCAACACTGTTCTTGCTGGAGTAGATGGTACCAACCCAGGCTGTA